AAAAAAAGGTAATGGTGTTTGTTTGGTGGTCTAACACTACATACAGCTTTATGGAACCTGGTCCATTGGTTACAGTGGATATCTACTGCAACCAAATGACATGATGATGACATTTCCAATTGAGTAGCTGAGATCAGTTATTAGAAACAGGTCCATCCTCTTGCAAGACAACACTATCACACAAACACCACTGCTCAAATTATAGAGCCTGAACTGAGAAATTCTGTCATCCACTATGTTCACCAGACCTCGCACCAACTGACTACCACTTCTTCCAGACTTTGGACCACTTCTTGCAAGGAAAAATACTCAATTCTCAACAAGCTGTGGAAAAAGCCTTTCTCGATTTCATTGTCTCTCACTCTCTATGCTTCTTTGCTGCTGGCACACACAAGCTACCATTAAGATGAAAAACTGTGTCGATAGTTTTAGGCACATATTTTGATTAGTTTTACTGACTTTTGTTTGAGATATAATAAATTCAACTCTCGACTCAAAATCAAACATTTCAGATTTAATGGCCTAATAGTTCTTATTTTCCTTAAATTAAAAGCAATAAATTTGACTCAAAAAACAGATTAACAGTTATCGTACAGGGTAGCCATAAAGTTCGTGTTAAATTGCTCACAAACTTTATGGTCACCCTGTACAATTGGGTTCTTGCTAATAAACAAAATGTTTTATTTTATATTTTATTTTATTATTTATTTATTTATTTTTTTCACTTTGTCACCTTTGATAGAGTGCTGTAGCCTTACAGCTCACAGCAACCTGAAACCTTTGAGTTCAAGAGATTCTCTTGCCTCAGCCTCCCAAGTAGCTGGGACTACAGGTGCCCTCCAGAATGCCCAACTATTTTTTTAGAGATGGGGGTCTCACTCTTGCTCAGGCTAGTCTTAAACTCATGAGCTCAGGCAATCCACCTGCCTCGGCCTCCCAAGTGCTGGGAATACAGGCATGAGTCACTGTGCCTGGCCTCAAATGTATTAGAAATTAGAAATTCTGTTTTCTTTTTACTGTTCCCGGAGTGAAACAGAAATAGTGCTCTTTGTTGCTAAAGCTCTACATAAGACAGACATATTTCAGTACACATTTTCAAAGAACTTTCTAAACTAATAGTAGAGGCATCTGGCAATGGACCTCAGTTTGTAAGGACTGAATTCCTCTTCTGGAGGCACTCAGAATTAGAACCAAAGATCAGGCACTTTGGGAGGCCAAGAAGGAAGGATTGTTAAAGGCGAGGAGTTTTGAGACCAGCCTGGGGAACACAGTGGGACCCTGTCTCTAGGTAAAATAATACAGTAGAATCTCTGTAAGTTGAGCACCCAAGGGACTGTAACAAATTGGTCAATCTATGGAGGTGGTCATCTAGGCCTACTGTACTGACATGCTCAAGTGGTGAATGTCCAGTCTGTGAAAATTAGGTCAATTTAAGGAGATTATCAATGTAGGGAAGTGGTCAACTATGGAGGTTCTACTGTAGTAAAAAAATAAGACCAGGCTGGGTGTGGTGGCTGGTGCTTATAATCTTAGCACTCTGGGAGGCCAAGGCAGGTGGATTGCTTGAGCTTAGGATTTGAGACCAGCCAGAGCAAGACTGAGACACCATCTCTACTAAAAATAGAAAAACTAGGTGGGTATTGTGGTGGGTGCCTGTAGTCCCAGATACTCAGGAGCCTGAGGCAAGACGATCACTTAAACCCAGGATTTTGAAGTTGCTGTGAGTTATAAGGCCATAGCATTCTACCCAAGGCAACGGAATGAGACTTTGTCTCAAAAAAAAAGGAAGGAAAGAAAGAAAGACCAATTGTTCTTTCGGTAGCATGAAAGTTTCCACCTGTAACTTTTTTTTTTTCTTCCTGTTTTTGGCCAGGTTGGGTTTAAACCCATTACCTCTGGCATATGGGGCTGGCGCCCTACTCCTTGAGCCACAGGCGCCGCCCCCTGTAACCTTTTTTTTTTAGAGACAGAGTTTCACTTTGTTGCCCTCAGTAGAGTGCTGTGGCATCACAGCTCACAGCAACCTCCAGCTCTTGGGCTTACGCAATTCTCATGCCTCAGCTTCTGAGTAACTGGGTCTACAGGTGCCTGCCACAACGCCCGGCTATTTTTTTGTTGTAGTTTGGCCAGAGCCAGGCTTGAACCTACCACCCTCAGTATATGGGGCCTGCTCCCTACTCACTGAGCCAAGGCACCACCCATCCACCTGTAACATTTGCTTCACTGTGTGGTGTGAGAATTCTTTTGTGATCTCTATTAACCTCTATCCAGAGCTTTTGTTGGGCAAAGGTCTGGCTATCACTATCGTATTGCCTCCCTCACCTTCCATTTCCACAGCCACACAAAATTTGATGCCCAGTAAATTCTCAGGAAACATTCCAAGACATAAGACAAACTTTTCAGCTTAGAGCAGTTGGTTTCCAGCTGGGCTGCACATTGGAATAATCCGGAGAGCCTCTAAAAAAAAATAAATCCCCAATCCTGGCCATACCCCAGGCTAATTAAATTAGAACGTCTATGGATTGGCACCAGGTGAATATATTTGAATGTTATACAGGTGATTAGAAAGTGCAGCCAAGATCCAGAACCACTTAACTAAGGGTTTTGTGACCATACGTCAGGTGTGTTGAAATAATAAATTTAATGTGCTCTTATTCTTGGATATGTATAATTTTACACTTGTATAATACTTTACAGTTTCTGAGTGTAATGAACTTTAAAGTTTAATGAATATCTTATAATCTAGTGGGAGACAAAAATATGTACCAAATAGCTGGGTGCTGTGATGTGTGCCTGCAGTTCCAGCTACTCCCAAGACTGAGGCAGAAGGACTGTCTGAGGCCAGGAGTTTGAGGTAGTAGTGTGCTATGACTATACCTGATTCCAGCCTGGGCAACATGAGGAGACCCTGTCTCAAGAAAAAGGTACCAAATAATACCAGGAAGTTAGCCGTGTGTGTGTGTGTGTGTGTGTGTGTGTTTCTCCTTCAGGGAAAGTGCTGAGTATATCATTTGATGGCAACAACAGCTGAAAGGAAGCCCAGGGTGTGGGAAGGAAGCAGCCATGAGATGGGGGTTGGGTGTCAGGATCCTGCAGTGAGACAAGGTGATTTGGGAAAGTCGTTCATGTCCACCTGCAGAAGGGTGACCTAGTCCCCAGGTTATAGTGGGGACAGCATCATTGTGCCTGCTTGCATGGATGTCCCAAGCTCTGACATTTGTTACTGAGGCACGGTCCAGCAGCTGTGGCCCAAGGAACTAACTATGGGTAATACTGAGAGCCTTCCTAGGACACTGCCCAGAGATTCTGGGATCTTGGTTACTGTAACAAACTCCTTGGACATCGGTGGGCATCAGTGTTACCAGGTCCCAGGTCCCAGATCCTCACTTTGGAAACCAAGCCCTCATGGTGGAGCCCTGCTAGTCTCTCCAGCCATTTCGACCCTACACTGTTAGCCCTCAGAGGACACAGTTTTTGCAGCTGTTTGATGTCGCAACGCCTTCACTCTGATGGTGTTTCCTCCCTCCTTCCACTTAATTCCTCAATCCTCCCGCACCGCTCAGTGATCCCCATCAGGGATCACTTCCTCGGGGCCCCAACCACCCTGCTCCTGTTTTGGACTCAAAGCACCCTAGTATGCTCAGCACCCAGTACCCGGCCCGCAGACCCGTTAGCCAGTGAGCGGATGAGCTAGCGCGTGGCGGAGGGGTGGAAGTGTGAATGAACGCAGGATGCAGCGGGTGAGTGGGTGGGTGAGCAGATGAATGAGGCAGCATGTTGAGTAAGCAAGCCCCAGGTGAGCGGTGGATGAATGACAAGGGCAAGGTGGGAGTGAAAGAAGGGGCGGTGAGTGTCTGTCTAAGGAAGCAGAACTCTGCAAACTAGGTCTAAGGGGAGAGCGCACAGCCCTCCAGCTCCGTGTCCACGTGGCCGGGGCGGGATCTGGGGGGTGGAGCCCAGCTGTGTGTGGGCGTGGTTCGGCCTAGAGCGGTGCGTGTCGAGCCCGTCAGGGGCAGGTTGTGGGCGGGGAGACCTTCGGCGGAAGGCGTGGCTTGGCAGAGTTGAGGCGTAGTCCTGCCAGGCTAGGAATTAGGTGAGCCTGGAAGGGGCGGGGAAAGCCGGGACAGAGGGCGTGTGGAGGCGGGGCGTGGGCGGGGCGCAGGCAGGCGGGCACGGGAGGAAGTCACGTGGGCGTGCGGGCTCACATGACTGGCCGCGAGATGGACCAGCAGCCCGCGGTGGCAGTCGGCGCGGCAGCTGAGGCGGAGGCTGAGGAGGAGGCGGATCCAGTGGTGGCAGGTAGGGTGCGGGGCGGTTGCCGTATCCCGCTGCCCTCAGCGTGGCCTGGCGACCCTCGTCACAGTCCTCGGCCCCTCAGCTCACTTCCTGCACCTCTTGGCTCGCGCCCAGCCGGGCCCGCGTGAACCTTCCCTAGAGTCCCGCTGCCCCCTCCCGCTCTGAGGAGCCCGAGTCGCGCGAGCGCGGGTCCGGAGGCACCTGACGGTGTTGTCGGCGGGCCACATTTTTCTGGGACTTTTCGGGGAGTTCTTGGGACGGTTCCTTCCTCGTGACCCCTGGCGTCCCGCTCTTCAGAGGCGGCCTGTGGCCCCTGCGCGGCCACGCTGAGCCACAGCCCCCAGGAACCGTTTCCCCTGGATTTGGAGGACTTTTCAAGCTACCTCTCCGTTTCCAGCGTTTGGATCCCATTCCCGTTGTGTATTCGTGGGCCAGTAATTTGACCTCTCACGGCCAATGTTTTCTCGTTAGTGTGTAGGTTTTATGTCTCTTTAAGGGATTTTTGGCTATTGTGTAAGGATAAACATGAAGAGAGATGCATGAGGATGCTCTTGTTCTAAATGTTTCTTCCTATAGTCCTCTTAACTGTAGCATGAATGTAGATGGGTATTGGTGATGAATGAGAGTTTCTTCTTGGGGGGGTACAATCTGGGGACTCATCCTGGAGAAGTCTGGCAAGGAGTCCTCTGGAGGCGACTGAAGTGCATTCTGAATGGTTGGTAGACAGTTTCTTCATTAGGGAGGAAAGGCAGAGGGGAGTCACCGTGAAACTCCAGGGTAGGGGAGAGGCGGCATTATTGCATTGTGCTTGATTGATGGGAAGCCCTGGTGTCTAGGCATAATGTCCCTCCAGAATTGGTCTTTACTTATTTTTTCCTTTCACTCAAGTCTGTAAGAGGAAGCATGTGATGGTTCTTGCTGGTTAGAACATTGTGTTCATAGGTCACGTGCTGGAGCCTAGTATGGGCCTTTGGCGGGACCCCTTCTGTGGGGTCACTTGGAATGGGAAATTGTAATTGAATCAGGATGCTTCTATCTCAGCTTGTAAAGCAGTTCAGAATTGCAGGAGGTGGTAGTTCAGGGATTTATTTTATGCAGATCTAGGGACTGCTGTAAATGTTTCATACAGGACTTACCTGATGTGTGCCATTGTGGTGTGATTTATGGAAAGTCTGAGTTCTGTGCTCTGGGAGCTGCCTCTCTGGAGACTGCCCTTCCTTTGACTTCCTTTAGATAATTGGGCTCCCCTGGGGGCAGAGATGATTTTATCCTGAGTTCTGATGGTATCTCTTTTATAGAGCAGTTTCCTTTCCTATAGCCTGATGAGTCTAAAAGTGGAGTTCACAAACTCTTAGGATGTAGTCTAACATTTCATTCTACTTGAAACCTGGCAGCCATCCTGTCAGGGAGAAATGGTGTAGCAAACATTTTTTACACTAGGAAAACTAAAATCCAGAGGCAAGTGGGCAATGTTAAGGGAGTGTGCTTGGTGGGGTCTTTGGTTGGGTGAGCTGGAGTCAGAAAAACAAAACCTTTGAGAATGAATTTTGTCCAGAAAATGTGTGTGTGTGTATCTTAACTTTCACAGATTTTGACTTCTTGAAGGACTGGTTGTGGCTTATGGGTATGTTGTGAAATTTTTCTTCTCTGGGACTCTGTCCACACAGCCAGAGGCCACCAGTTAATGATGTGGGGATGTCTCTGTCTTTGTAGTGCTTTTGAGATTGCCAGAAAAAATTGTGCACATTGTAGTTTTCAGCATTAAGTGTCTCACTATATTCTAATTCTTTGGAACTTAAGCTGTGAATGCTCTGTAGGGTAACTTTATATTTTTTTTGAGACAGAGTCTCACTATGTCACCCTATGTAGAGTGCTGTGGCATCACAGCTCACAGTAACCTCACTCTTAGGCTTAAGTGATTCTCTTGCCTCAGCCTCCCAAGTTACTGGGACTACAGGCACCTGCCACAGTGCCCGTCTATTTTTTTGTTGTTGTCATTGTTTAGCAGGGTTTGGGCTGGGTTTGAACCCACCAGCCTGGGTATATATGGCCTGTGCCCTAACCACTGAGCTACTGGCGCTGAGCCAGGATAACTCTTCTTAAAAACTTAACTGTTTAGGGATGGGTTGGTGCTAAGACCTGTAATCATAGCTCTCTGGGAGGCCCTAGCAGGAGTATCCCTTGAGCTTAGAATAGTGGTTCTCAACCTTCCTGATGCTGCGGCCCTTTAATACAGTCCTACAGGTTGAGAACCGCAGGCTTAGGAGTTCAAGACCAGCCTGAATAAGACTGAGACTCTTTCTCTTTTCTCTTGCAGAAAAAAAAAAAAAATTACCTGGGCATGGTGGCAGGTACCTGCCCAGCCATTTGGGAAGACAGGTTCTGTAGTTCTTAAGTTGAATTTGTACATAAGTTGGAATAAGTCCATTTACCTGTCAGCCTCCCATAATAACCCCTGTTTGTAAGTGCAAGTAGTATGTTGGATTTTTGTAACTTGGGGACTTATTGTAATAGTCTCTATTCCCAAGTGGGTGATAGGGTTTGCACAGTTTTAACAGATAAAATGAAGGATCCCTTTACTATAGCCTCATCCACATTAAATGCAATTTTTAATTTAATTAGTTAAATTTATTTTATTTTTGGAAAACAGAGCCTCAGGCATGGGTTGAAAGTGCTCTCTCTTTAGACTCAATAAATGTAAGAGAATGATGGCCTGGGTGTGATCACTCAAAACTGTAATCCTGGCACTCTGAAAGGCCGAGGCACGTGGAGTGCTTGAATTCAGGAGTATGGTACTAGCCTGAGCAGGAGACCCTCATCTCTCCAAAAAAAGAAAATTTAAGAGAATATTTCATTTTTGTTTAATTAGCATTTCTTTGATTTAGTGAGGTTTAATCTTAGAATATTTCCTCCTTGTATGGCCTTTCTGGCTTGACAGTTCATGTATTTTGCTTATTTTCTTACAGGGTTGTCTTTTTTCTTATTGATTTCTAGCAATTCCTTTTGTATTTTGTATACTAATCCTTTGTGCAGTTTTTTTTTTTCATTTTCATCTTAACTTTTTTATAGAGATCATGTCTTGCTGTGTTGCCCACTATGGTCTTGAACTCCTGGCCTCGAGCGATCCTCCTGCCTTAACCCCGCAAAGTGCTATACTTATAAGGGTGTGAGCCACTGTGCCTGCCCCCTTTATGGATTTTATTTTTTATTTTTATTTATTTATTTATTTTTGAGACAGAGTCTCACTATGTCACCCTCAGTGGAGTGCTGTAGTATTACAGTTCACAGCAACCTCAAACGCCTGGGTTTAAGCGATTCTCTTGCCTCAGCCTCCCAAGTAGCTGGGACCACAGGTGCCCTCCACAATGCCTGGCTATTTTTTTTGTTGCAGTTGTCATTTCTGTTTAGCTGACCTGGGCTGGGTTCGAACCCACCAGCCCCGGTGTATATGACCAGCACCCTACCCACTGAGCCATGGTGCCACCCCCTTTGTGGATTTTATATTGACATTATAACTATTAAATTGACAGAACATTCTGGTCTCTGACTGCCAGGTAAGAGCTTATTTCAGGGCCTGTTTTAAGGTTGTAAAGCTCAAGGACTGTGCCAGTAGAATAAGAATGGCAGAAGTGAGTATGCGAGTGTGCTGTGTGTGCTTGATCTAAACAAATTCTTCAGGATTGAATAATACAAAGATAAAAATGTATACAAATTACTACTGTGGATCATAGCTCTTCTTTATACAATCCTATTGACTGAATTTCAGGCTTTTGAACAAGGAGAATCATGCTTCACTTGTTTTAGTGTGGCTCATTCGATGGCATTCCATACGTTCCATTCAGCTTGGAAGCTCCCAGCTGGCTGGCTGTGCAGAGCTTGAGGAAGCCTCCTACTGTTGTCAGTAGTCAGGGCCCAGGGGCATGCTGATCCCCTCTCACCCCCCATCCCAGGGCCCCTGGCTCCTGTTACCTGGGCCTTTACACTCACTCTGGGCTCGCACCACCCCTTACCTTTAATGCAAGTCCTTACTCTGCTGTTTCCTTCCTGGGTGTGCATATTTGCTGAAATTCATTGAGCTGTCACTGAAGATTTATGCATTTTTATGATTAAATTCTGCCTCCAAGTATTGTTTGCATTAAGGAAAGAACTTTTTGGTCTGTCCTTGTCCTCTCTGTGACACACACTTTGTTTTTTCTTTTTTTCTCTCTTTTTTTTGGGAAACAGAGCCTCCCTTTGTCCCCCTTGGTAGAATGCTGGTGGCGTCATAGCTCACAGTAGCCTCCTGGGCTCAAGTAATGCTCTTTTTATTTTTATTTTTATTTTATGTATTTATTTTATTAAATAAATAGCAGTGTACATTAATACTATCATGGGGTACAGTGTACTGTTTCTATATGCATTTTGAAATACTTTCATCCAACTGGTTAACATAGCCTTCATGTCTTTTTCTTAATTATTGTGTTATGACATTTATATTCTACATTTAGAGAGACTCACATATACCCTTATAGGATGAACCATAGGTGTGATACCACCAATCACCCTCCCTCAAGCAATGCTCTTGTCTCAGCATTCTGAGTAGGTGGGACTACAGGCACCTGCCATAATGCCTGGCTATTTTTAGACAGGAGGTCTCTCTCTGGCTCAGGCAGGTCTCAAACTCGGGAGCTCAGGCAGTCCACCTGCCTTGGCCTCCCAGAGTGCTAGGATTATAGGCATGAGCCACTGGCCGACCTCATGGCACACACTTTAGTTGTAAATACCGGACGGGCAAAAATTTATTTATTTTTTTTACATCTAGTATCTAGAATATCTCCTATGTGGAAGAGTCTCAAATATTTGAATAGAATTACATTTTTGTGATTTTTAAGAAGGTAGCATAACATTTTAGTGTGAAAATGATGTGAATACTTTCTGTTACTGGTCTTTAAATTCACTCTTTCACTGACATACATGTAGACAATTTGCAAGGTAAAATGTGTCAATTTCAAGAAAGAGGAACT